CCAGGTACTGTGGTCACTGTTTCATTCACAGGCAAAAACCATGAGGGTTTTTTTAAGTTATTTTATTTTATTGGTAGCTAGAGGGGCCATTGAAGCAGCAGGTACCACAGCGGAATCAGAAACTAGGAAATGCAAATAAATTGTAAGAAAATAAAAGATATTGCTGAGTTTTAAACTGTGTTTAAAACTCCTAATTATGAAGTTTTGAAATAATTTAGATAGGGCATCTGTCTACATCTGATTTGTATTGAGGCCTCATCCTTCCTGTACAGTGCGGGGGTGGGAGTACAGAATGAACACTGCCATTTGATCAGGGCTTCCTAGGAGTAGAAAGAAATTTGTTTCAGGGTTTCCTTGAAAGACTTCTTGCAGCATAGAGCTTTTCTTACTGGCCTTTCAAAAGCTAAGCCATGATGTTAAAGCTGAACATTAAGAGTGATCAAGAAACTAATAAAGTGAAAGACTGATCCATAGATATTCATAGTTACATAATCTGTAACTCTCTATATAATCTTAACTATGAGGAAGAATCTGTCTGGTTTTGTCCATTTGGTTTTATTTATATATAAGCTTGGCATTATTGTTAATATTTTGTGCTATAGCAGTGGTACCCAACTTTTTGGCCATGCAGGCTGGATGAGTGATGTGGGGTCAGTCTGTGGGCTCAAAACAGCATGCAGGGTCAGGGCCCAATCTAGCTCATGGGGCCAGCCCAGCACATGGCCCCAGTTCTGCAAGCCAGATTGGGACCCATGGCAGATTGCACCCAAGGCCCTGGCTGCACATACAGAGTCTCGTTATCTGACCTACACAGCTTGAAAATTAGGCAGCAGGGGAGCACTGAAAGTGTTAATTGCCACTGTTTTCCCATAGCCAAATTTCCACACCCATTGGAAGCTCTGTGGGCCAGATAACATGGTTCCACTGGCCAGAGGTTGAGCATCACTCTGCTAAAGCAGTGGTGTCCAACCTTCTGGCCCAGCAGCTGAGTGGCATAGAGTCAGTCTGCAGGCCAGATCCCACCCCGTGTCGCTGTCCCAATCAAACTATGTGCTGTCTTGATTCCAAGTGCCTGGATCCAGCCATACAGTGGCACAGTCTAGCATGAAGGGCCACATTAGCTGGCCCACAGGTCCAGATATCTGACAGCAGGGGAACAGGAATTAATGTTGTGCCACCACTCCCCTACTACCCAATTTCTGGAAACTTGGGGAGCCCTGTGGGCCAGATGATATGGCTCTGTGGGGCCAGATTTGGTTTACAGGCTGGGGGTTGAGCACCCCTGTGCTAGATTAATGTCTACAGGACCCAGAATAGGGACCCTGTACTGCAAAGGTGTACATGTGACAAACATAGAGACAGAAATAGGGGAGGAAGGACCTGAGGAATTATGTATTCAAATATTGAGTGAAGCTCCACTTTATATGGGGAATTAAAAAAATCCTAAACTTTTCAAATGTTTTGGGGGAAATGCAATGTCAAAATATTCATTTTCAAATTAAAACCTAAGCTTTCTGACTGGGGAAGAGATTATGTGGCCTGGTGGTTAAGGAACTGTCCTGAGATGCGGCAGAGAGGTTCAAGCAGAATTTTCCATTCCAGATCTGTCTGATTTAGGTAAAGTGAGGACTTGACCTGGGGTCTCCAAAATCCCAACATAGTATACTCACCACCAGGCTATAGAGCAGTGCTTCTCAACCCATGGCCTATGGGCTGCATGTGGCTCAGTCAACATGCTGCTGCAGCCCATGTGATATCCTGTTAAAAAAGTAAAGACATTTGACAGTGTAGGAATGAGAGGTATTACAGAATATTGATTTATAGTGCATTGTTGTCAAATAACAGATACAAAACATTTTTAAATAGATACACAGGAAGTAAGTTGTGTGGGTGCAACCCAGGCAGGGTGAATGACTACCAGAGAGGAATACATTAAGGAAGTTCCTCAGGAAGAAGCCTGGCAAGAATTGTCCAAGGATTACAGACAGAAAATGAGAGAAGACTGGACCCTCTGGAAGCCATACCGCCTGGTCCTTAGTGGTTGGCTGGTAGGCCAGGGCACAAGAAATCCCTTTGACTTCAACAAGAAGTCAAGAGGAGTTTCTGGACTGGGACCAGAAACTGAACCAATGTGGCTTTAGCAAAGCCTGCCCCCAGGGCCAGCAGCTACCATTTTGAGTGGCTAAAGTTCACTTCCTTTGACACTATGGGTGATGTAAGCAAAGGAAGGTGTGCTAAGGAGTTATGGCCACTATCCCATACGTCATGATTATGCTAGAATTTTTATGTGAATAGTTCAGTCGACTATTGCCAATATGGTTAAACTCCAGTCCTGGGTATTAGAAGATCAAGGTCTTCCTAGTAGTTATGTGATTACTCTAGGAAGTAGCAGTCATGCGACACATCATGGTTTTGCCAGATGTATAGAAATATTATTCTAGACAAACTCCTTTACTGGGGATGGATAAGAAGAGAAAAATTGATAGAGTCCTTACAGTTTCCTCACTTATCTTTCCATCACAACATATGTGTGTTTGTGCTTGTGTGTATGGACAGTTGTATATTTTAGTTGCTTTGAAAGAGGAGGGAGGCCTGCTGCTTAGGAGTCTGCAGCCACTGTGATGCTGTAACTGTCATGCCTGCATGATCCTGTAGCAATGCAAGTGAGCTAAATCAGTCTAATTTTGACCCTGGATGAATTAGGATTAAAACTGGAATAGTTTTAATTAATACATTGCTGCAGAATCAAACAAGTTTAACAGGTACAGCATAACGGCTTGCATCTGCATCCTTTCATATTGATGCAATTATTACATCTGTCTGTACCCAGTGTATATCTCTTCTCACCACACACTGACGTGCTGCACTTGCTGGCTCACAAATGCTGTGATTCCACTGGAGGCCAAAGTATGCAATGGATGTCACCAATGCCCTGCTGACATGGAAAAGATATAGAAATATGATGGGTATCCTGAACTCTCTTGTATGTCTTTGGCCCAGACTATACACTCTATCCTGACCTGTCCTATGTCCTCTTCCTGCCCTTTGTATAGAGAACGTACAGGAAGGCAGCTAACCACTCCTTTGCATGCCGAACAGTGAGAAGGAGAAATGATCATGTACATAGGTCAGATGCATCATTTAAGATGGGAACCCTGTTGTTGTTGAATATAAATATAGCAAGTCTTAATTTCCTTAACTAACCAACAACAGTTGGTTATCAGGGATTTTCCTTGTTTGATAATTTAATTGCTTGATACAGTAGTTGTAAGTGACTCAGGAGGTAATCTCAGATGATTCAGGAAGCATCAGCAGCGTCAGCACTTTCTCTTCAATGTTCTCTCTTTATTCCCCCTCCACAGCATGTCTCTGCTGAACCACAGCTGTGACCCAAACTGTGTGATTGTTTTTGAGGGATACCAGCTTCTACTTCGTTCAGTCCGGGAGATCCAGATTGGTGAAGAGGTAATTAATTTGTTCTCTCTTCTATCACAGACACCTGCAGCAGTGGCATCTCCCTAAATAAATTCCAGACTGCAGGGCCACTAGCTTAATATTTTGATGATATATTGATGCCTGTTTCTCATACACCTACCAGGGCAAAGATGATAAATAGAATCATCTCTTCACACTGCCTGGGCCCCATAATCATTACTTCTCATAAATCACACACAGTCTTGATAAATTCTTGTTCCTCCATTCTTCCTCTAGGTACTTCATTTTGTTAGTATTTGAACACCTTTCGGCTGATGGAAACACTTACAATATTTCTGGGTGGAATGCAATGTTCACTAACTAATAACTTCTTTGCCTCTGTCTTCCTCAGTAAGGACCA